CCGGGTGGTTCAGTGGGTTAAAGCCTCTGCCTTCAGCTCAGGTCATGATCCCAGGATCCTGGGATCGAGCCCCGTGTCGGGCTCTCTGCTCCGCAGGGAGCCTGCTTCCTCCTCTCTCTCTCTCTCTCTCTCTGCCTACTTGTGATCTCTGTCTGTCAAATAAATAAATAAAATCTTAAAAAAAAAAAAAAAGACAGATCGTTCCTTTTTTTTTTTTCATTTCAGTGGTTTTCTTCACCAAACAGCAATTATAACCCAGTCCCTCTGTAATTTTTACTTCTTAAAAACTTTTTTGTGGACTACTGATAATGACAAGATATAAAAAGGAACATTGTGCAATCAGTTCTCACAGTATAACCATTCTCATCCTGGGTATTAACTTCTGCTCCATGAGCAACAAGGAGAGCAACAACCTGAGGGTGACCATCTCGGGCAGCATACATGATTGGAGTCATAAGTCTTCTGAAGAGGAGGAAGAAAAGAAACATCTGTGTTAATGCTGCCATTAATAGCTACTCAATTTCATGAATTTTACCATATCCAATACCAAAATATTGTTTTGAAAGCAAAGGAAATGAAAGCTTTTAATAAATCAGATGATTTAAAAATCCAGTCTCCCAGCAAATGTAAAAACACTTTTAAGTATTGAATGCTTACACAGCACCCTCTAGTGAAGACATGTGTTTAAAAAAATCACTAAACAAGCCATACTTCCTAATATGAAGTTTCATTAATGTACATATTAATATAGAAAACTATCAGAGTACCCACAATGCTTATCCTGGGAATACAGTGATGAATAACACAAATAAGGTCCCTGTCCCCTCAGTACTGTTCATACTTATTAAATGCTTTTATTTATTACATTTAATAAAGATAAAAGTTTAAATTTTTCTCTTATTTCTTGATGTAGTCCATTATGATTCTATTTTAGTTTAAGCCTGAAATAATTTTACCCGTCTTAGAGTTTTAGTCTAATCAAGAAAGAAATTAGTTTAATAGTTTAGCCAGACTCTCTGAGACTTTTCTGAGAGAGCACAGTGGTTTCCCTCTAGTGTATCATTTCTCAAAATAGAGATTCAATCCCTCTCCTGAAAGTTAGTCAGCTTCTGCTTCTATTACAAAGGATACTAGAAAGATTCTATTAGTTCTATGTGGGCTGAACTTAGTATCTTGGTCTGTTTTAAAGGAGGTCTGGGACTCTAGGCTCAACCTTCCTAAGTTGCCTCAAATATCTGATTTATATGGAAAGCACTTCACAAAAGAATAACAAATTATTAAATAACTTCAGAATTCTGTTTTAATCTCATTAAGGAAGTTAATCTTGGTAACTCACATTACATACATGACCTGTAAATTTCTCTATAAGGATTGTTAACATAAGGTATATCCCGAATCTGATCATTTTACACTAATGTCTTTAGCACAAAAAGATTCACACACTTCTTTCTATTTCATAATGTTATTAAAATTTCAATGTTTTATTGGAAATTATATGCTATGGTAGCTGTCAAGCATTGCCTCTTCTATCTTGAATATCTCCTACATAGTGGCTTTAGACAGAAAATCTTTACAAAGTAATGAGTGAATTGCCTGGATAACTTAAGAAAACATGGGAAATACATACAATAGAATAAAATGATGAGTCGACACATTCAAATTCTCCACTAAGTCTAAATTAAACCGCTTGATGCCTTTTCTTCATCCCACCTTCTCTGTAATAGCCCACATCTTCTCCTTCCAATCTTCCTATTTCATAAAATTACCATTAACCACATAACTCCGGCCTAAGACTAAGCATAACTTATGACTCTTCTCCATGACTCCATTTATGCCTCTTGTATGTGGAGTCATACACAAGTCATCAGCTGGTCCTACCGGCTCTACCTTCATAATATGTTCTGAATCTGACCACTTTGCACCATCCTATTCGTCACTGTAAGCAGTGTAAGACATCATCATCTTTCTCTGTCCTATATTATTGCAATAGCCTTGTAATTGCTCTCCATTCTTCTGCTCTTGACCACTCATAGGTTATTCTCTTTGAAAATGCCAAGTTCTTGCCCTTCCAAGGACTATTCAGGAGCTGTTCTCTCCACCTTTTCCTAGACCTTCATACTGCATACTTCTTCACCTTATTCAGATCCTCAGTAAGAGGAGAAAATCAATAAAATTGACAAACATATAACCAAATTGATCAAGATAAAAAGAAGACACAAATTACCAGTATCAAGAATAAGAGAGGTGACATCAATACAGATTCTCCATAGTTTAAAAGTATAAGGGAATATTATGAACAAATTTCTGCCAATAAATTAGAAAACTTAGATGAAATGGATAAGCTTCTCAAAAGATTCAAACTACCAAAGCACACTCAAAAATAACGAACCTGAATAGTCCTATATTTGTAAAAAAATTAAATTAGTAAATAAAAACCTCTCACAAAGAAAACAGCAGGCCCAGATGGCTTCACTAATGAATTCCACCAAACAGTTAATGGAAAAAATAATACCAGTTCTACTCAAACTCTTCAAGTAAACTGAAACAGAATCCTTCCCAATTCATTCTATTAGCAAGAATTACTCTAATAACAAAAATTAGAGAAAGACATTGCAAGGAAAGAAAACTATACACCAATAATATTAACTGAGCACAGATGCAGAAATTCTCAACAAATTTTGGCAAATAGAATCCAAAAATACATAAAAAGAATAATACATCATAACTGAGTACAATTATCCTGAGAATGCAAGATTAGTTTTGACATTTGACCAAAAAAAGAAAACCACAAGATTATCTCAATAAATGCAGAACAAGCATTTTACAAAATCCAACATCTAATAAAATTCTTAGCGATGTAAGAGTAGAAGAGAACTTCCTCAACTGGAAAACTTTATAGCTAACATACTTAATGGTGAAAGAGTGAATACTTTCCTCCTAAGATGAGAAACAAGACAAAGATGTCTGCTCTTATCGCTTCTATTCAACATTGTATTTCAAGATCTAGCCAGTGTAATAAAACAAGAAAAAACAGGCACCTAGGTAGAAAAATAAATAAAATTGTCTTTATTCACAGATAGCACTGTATGTTTATGTAGAAAATCTGATGAAATCTACAAAAAAAAGGTACTAGAACTAATAAATTAGTAAGGTTACAGGATACAAGATCTCATGGAATACACACATTAGTTACAATTACTATTTTACCTTGCTGAACTCATGATAAGCCATCACTGAATAGAATTAAAATCAACAAGGCAATATCATTTCTTTCTAATTTACAAAAGTCTAGTTCATATAGTTCAACCCATGTAAAAAACAACTTACATGTAAACACCAATTTAGAACACAGAATCATCAAAATTTGGTAACATCTGCATTGACTTATTAATTTGGAGAAACAAAATCATTATGCAGGGCTAGGCAGTTACCTCATTCACTGCTCAAGAGCACCTTATAAAATAGAACTTATTCTCCCTTTAGAGATGAGAAAACAGGTTGGGAAATAAGTAATTTTTGTTGAAAGCTCACTGTTGGTGTGCTATTGAAATAAGATTGTTTATCTCCCCCAATCTCCTGAAAATCACTTTTTATAATCTATCCGGATATACAGAAATCTCAAGTTCTCTTTTTCTAAATCTTTTATGTATTTGATTATGAAATATGGGATAAATTTCATAAACTCACTCCACAAGATGGCAAAATTGGAAACCTAAATAAAGTAAGTTGGCTAAAACATAATCTGAAAGAAGTGACACTCTGGCAGAATATCCAGAGAAGGTGACATGAAAGTGTGAGTGTCCCATTTGTTTGAAATTTATCACTGAAAATTGTAAGTGAAACTTCTGATTTTGGACTGAAATTTGTTCTGAGATTTCACAGAAAATTGAGGTTGTTTGAAATATCAACTTCTCTTGGAATCTTGGAAATCAGCAGAGATGGTAATTTTTGTTCAAATCACATGGACATAAATTGTTTCTTAGAGATGCTTACTTCCTCCTAAATAAGGAAAGTACTGGGCCAGCAGAGTTTGCTTACTAAGAAGCTTTAGATTACTACTGAAAAATGTGTTACAAAAATGTTGCATTGGTTTCTTCTAAGAAAAGTTGAATTTACTGAATGGAACAGCGAACTCTTGTAATAGTGTCTACATTACCCAGAAGGTTTCTTACTTAGCTTCTAAAGAGTTATTAAAGTTATTGATAACATCAGTAATGTTGCATGGACAATTCTGAGAGGGGAGAGAATAATTCTTCCACTGGTTTTATATCTACAGAAATTTGTAACATCTGTAGTTTTCTGCCCGTTACTGATTAACAAAATCTAAATGAATTATTTAATCTTACAAACTCTTATGAACAATCTTAAGAACTCTTCAGGGAAGTTATAGAACTTCATAATAACTGGTCTACTCAAGTGACATAGTAACAATCTGTGCTACTGGTAACTTTATTTCAGTATTAATTTCTATTTCCTATGATATACTGTAAAGAGCTCTTCCAATTCTCTCTTTAAATCACTGCAATTTTGCTCTGTCTGCTCCTTCTAACAAAATTGCTTTGGCAAAGGTCAACATTTATTTGGACACATTTTTCTAGCACTTAAAAGTACGTATTTCAAAGGCTTCTGTCCTCAACACTTTTCCCTTTTCACTGTATAAACACCAAGCCTCAATGATCTCACCTACTCACCTAACTTTATTGTCAGCACACTAATGGCTGCTGAATCTGTATCTCTAGGCCAGGCTTTGCTCCTGAGCTCCAGATTGTATCTGTCATTACCACATGGCTATCCTAACCAAACACATATCCAACACATATCCCAGTCTGAAGTCACCATCTTACCTCCCACACATAATTCTGTTATTACTTACCTCTGTGAACAGCATCACAATCCATGCACTGCCCGACCCAGAAACCTGGAATTTATTCATGACTCTTCATTGTGCTTTTGTATCTAAGTCAGCATTGCTGTGAATTTTACCTCCTTCCCATCATTTGTATCTATCTACTTTGCTCTCTCTCTCTCCTTCTTCTCTGTGTTTAGGTCCTTGTCATTTCTTACACGGATTACTGTCTCCTTGTTTCTAGTCTTTTCCTCCACATTTGTGAATCTTGTCAATTTACTGTTTAAAAATTTCAAGGTTACATCTATGATATGATAAGTGCATCTTTCATGCTAAGTGCTCTGTCTGGCATTTTAGCACCTGCAATCCTACTCCATCCTAGTAACAGGCTTTGGTCATATCTGCAAGGCATGAATTCCAATTTCTCTTTCCTCTGGATGTCCTATATTCAGAGCACTCTGGATGAAATGTCTTTTCATATTTTTGTCAAGAGGCTTACTCATAATCTACTTTTAAGGCTTCATCTTAAAAGCCAACATTTCCCAGTTTTTTGAAGCCCTATGACATCTTAGATAACAATCCCTCTTTCCTCTGTTTTCTTAGCATTTTGTGCTTA